CACAGTGCCGCGGCTCTGACAACATTGTGTGTGCGGTGACTCACACGCCAGGTGTGCAGCTGTTGGGCAACATACTTAAGAAACTACCAAACTGGTTTTCAGTGTGGCCATCCCGTGGGCGAAGCACGGACAGCCCAGGCCACCCAGGTCCATGGGTCTCCCCCTCTGGCCTCTGGGGCAGGTGCACGGCAAAACGTCGTTACAGTTTTACTTTGCATTTCTTGAGCACCCAGGGTGCTGACCATCTTCTCAGGTGCTCACGGGGCCGTCATAAATCTTCTTTGGTGAGGATCTGCTCAAATCTTTTGCCCGTTTTCTCACTGAAGTGTTTTTCCTACCGTTGAATTTAGAGAACTCTTTACATGTACGGGATACAAGTCCTCTGTCAAATATGACTTGCAAATATTTGCTCTCTAATGAGTAGCCTGTCTTTTGCACAGCGTACGTTTTAAATTTTGATGAAGGAGCCCTTGAGTTTTTACCGTATATAATTCCTAACAGAAGCTAAAATTAATCCATATTTAACTTCCCTGCAAACAATATGAGATGAGAATATTCTAGCAACTTTTCTTAACTAATATATTATCCTCATCTGGTTGTGGGGTCTAACAATTTAACCCCACAAAAGTTAGATGCCATAGTCATAATCATTACTTTATTACAAAATAACTTTATTATTTCACACAGTCCTTAGTTGAGAGTTGCCTACGTATTTACTGATTTCTTGGCTCTCCGTCCTTGTGTTATAGATCTTCCCTCCAGCATCGCCTCCTCCATCCTTCAGATGTTCCACTAGGGGAAGTCTCTTGCTGGTGAGCCCGCCATGTTCCCACTGGCATGGAAGCACCTGCATTTTTCTTTGTCCTTGACGGGTGGTTTTGTTGGAAATGAGACTCTACGCCCATGGTTATTTTTGGAACACTTAGCAGATAAGGCCTCACCGGGCTCCCTTTTTCCCTGTGGTTGACGTGGGTCAAGATCCCCTCCGTGCCGACTGTGGTGCTCCACGGCGTCTCCACACGTGGCTGGCAGAGTAGTTGTCGCATTTCCGCTGTGCGGTGTCCCTGCGCCCCCTGCACCTGCCTGGCCTGTGCCAGACTCTGGCCTCCTGGGCCCCAGTGGGCCCCATTCCACCGTTCATCTCCACCAGCTCAGCCCGTGCTGCACTCTGGTGTCCCTCCAGTGTTTGCCACCCCCTCTGTGACCAGACGCCCCGATGCACGGCCATCCACACAGCTCTTTGTGTCTAAAAGTTAGAGGTGATCTTTTTCAGACCCACTTGGTCACTTTTGATAATCTCTTCTTATTGTTCACTTTTGTGATTTCTTATTTTAAAATATTTCTCAGGACCTACGTACTTACAAGTCTAATTCCAGTAGCTGCATCCCTCCAGGGCTGTGTCAGCCAGCTCGGCGCCTCAGTGAACCCAGGCCGGGCACCTGAGACAGCAGAAACGGGTTTCCTCCCGGCCCTGGCGGCTGCGAGTCTGGGACCCACATGTGGGTGGGCTGCTCCCCCGATGCCCCTGTCCTGGCGGGTGGACGGCATCCCCTCCTGTGTCCTCACGTGGTCGTCCCCTGGTACGCGTCTGCGTCCCGCTCTCCCCTCCTTGCGAGGACACCGGCTGGCTGGATGAGGGCCCCCGGGGACCTCCTCTACCCTAATCACCTCCGCCAGGACACGGCTCCAAGCACAGTCACCCTTGGGGGCCCGGGGGCGAGGACACAGCGTGTGGACCTGGGCACACAGTGGGGCCCACTAACAGGGCCTCCGTTGTTACCTCTGCACCTGCTCCTGCTTCCTCGGCTTTCTGCTCTGCGGTCCCGTCACATATGAGTGGTCTTGGACTGTGGGGTCACATGGGCCCCTCGTGCAGTGGGCAGCCCAAAGGCCCAACTGGCCCCTTCCCTGCACAAAGGGCCTTTGCATCTCTGGGATCTCAGATGAGCCCTGAACTGGCTTCTGAAACCAGCACTTTCCAGGAGGGCAGCAGGGGAGGTGATGGCGGGGAGGGAACAAGACCAGGTCCTTGGCTTCTTTGCAAAGCAACAAAACATTTTAAACCGTGGGTTTCCACATTAATCTGGTCCGTACATAGCAGGAGGGCCGCAGGGACTGTCTAAGCCACCCTCCCAGGGTGGATCTGCCCAACTGCCCACCGGTCCCGCGGCTCCTCCGGGGGATGCACGAGGCTCACCTGGTGCGGCAGCGCCAGGCAGGGACCAGGCATGAAGCTGCAGTCCTGAGACCGGGCTCCGGGCCTGCCCTGGACGTCACCCCTCGATGCACCCCAGACTCTCAGGCTTGCCATCTGTACCAGGGCTGCAGCAGCTCCAGTGAACACCATCCCCACCACTCCGGCCTCTGGAACATACCACCGAGGCCCTGCAGTCAAGCCACAGACTGTCACAGCAACATCCCCCTTGTGCCAACTGTCACCTTCTAGACGCCCCAAATCAGGACCATTTCCTCTCAGCCCCCTCGGGTCCTTCTGGAAGCCTCCGCTGGCATCTGTCACTGTAGCCTTCGCGGCTCCCCTCCTCCACAGGGCAGCTCCTTCCTGTCGCCGCCCCGACTACACCTCCCACGCAGGGTCCTCCGAGCCCTGTCCTGGCCCCTTCCCTCCACTGGGACGCCCGTGCTCCAGGGCACCCCCCCGCTGGGCCCATGGGCACCTGGTACGAGACCCCAGCCCTGACTTCACCACCCACCTGCTCCCTTGCGTTCAGAGTCTGCACTGCCCCAGGACAGTGTCCGAGCAGGACGGGCTCTGAGGCTGGCGGCCGGGGAGCTGCAGCCCCATCGCAGGGCGAGGAGCTGACCGTCCTCCCGCTGCCTGTGCCCGCTCCCGAAGACCTTCCTCCCCAGGACACTGTGGCTCTGGCTGGCTCCTGGCTAACCCTCCTAGAGGCTCTTCGGGCTACCCTGGCACATACCCAAGACCAGCAGCTTCCAGCCCAGGTGTGAGGAGGGCACCCCAGGACCACTAGGGCCCCTCCATGCAGGAGCGCCCCTGCCCTCAAGGCCAGCCGAGGCCTCCATTCTCCCTGAGGCGTTGCCCAGCCTCCCCGTGCACCCGGCCCACGGCCTGCGGGCAGGCACCTGCTGTCCCATCACACTCATTCGGGGCCCTGTCTGCAGCACAGGGTCCAGCCGCAGAGGCTGAAGGGCGCACGAGGGCCATGGAGGCAGACGGACCTGGAGGCGTCACCTCTCAGGCCCCGACTCCTGAGTCCACAGCAGGGTTGAAGGCTGCCGGTCCCCAACCTCAGCCCGGATTCCCTGCCAGCCCCTCCCCCACCTCTTCTCCGGGCCTCACAGACATCTGCCAACACGCCTTCTTCAGCACAGCACGGCCTCCCTAGCCTCTGGGGGCACTGGGTCCTAACGCCGGGTCCCAGGCCAGCCAACGGAATGCGGTGCACGCAGAAGCATCCTCAAAGGGAGTGGACGTGCCTTCCTAATCCCTCCTCTTCATCCTGCTACTTGGAACGTGAGTGCCGTGGTGGGAGTCCTGCAGCCATCCTGGCGCGTGAGCACCGTGACGGAGTAGGGACCAGCAAGCCACGTGAGTCCACAGGGACTGCAGAGCCACCTCACTATGCTGGATCACCAAGCTCAGATACCTTCCAAGTAAAAGTCACAATGCCTGTTTTCTCTAAAATGTGCCACCTGGGTGTTTCGTCAAATACAGCCAAATCTAGTGTTAACTTACACACAGAAACCATTACCCAGGGAGTATTTACTAGCTTAGCATTCTTTCCTATAGCAGACCACGAGCTCCGGGAGGAGAGGCTTCTGGTCTGCCTTGCTTATGTATGCACCTTCCACACATAGTACGGGGCCAGGCCCAAAGGGGTCTCAGAGAGGTATTATGGGAATAACTACGGCCAGGGCTCAGAGTGTGACCGGGGTCAGGGCCCAGGGTGTGACCGGGATCAGGGCTCAGAGAGTGACCGGGGTCAGGATCCAGAGTGTGACCAGGATCAGGGCTCAGAGAGGGACCGGGGTCAGGGCTCAGGGTGTGACCGGGATCAGGGCTCAGAGAGTGACCAGGGTCAGGATCCAGAGTGTGACCAGGATCAGGGCTCAGAGAGGGACCGGGGTCAGGGCCCAGGGTGTGACTGGGGTGAGGGCTCAGGGTGTGACCGGGGTCAGGGCTCAGTCTGAGACTGGAGAAGGCATCAGCCTGCAACAGGAGGAAGCAGTGTCCGTTGCAAGTAGGGAGGTAGATGTCAATCTGTAGTGTGCATAGAGGACAGAAGGGTGCGTCCCGTCCACGCGGCACGAAGGTTAGGGGAGGCTCAGAGAAGGCATGCAGGGATCCGAGGTTTGCCGCGTAGCAGGAAGGCTTCCCAGGGCGGGGCCATCTGTGTGAGGCTGCCGGGACAGCAAAAGGCACCACTTGCACCCACAGAGGGAGAGAGAGGAGGCTGGGAGGGCACCCGGGCCACGTCCCAGGGAGCCGCTGGATGACGGCTGAAGAGCCCAGGCTTTCTTCCGTAGACGAGGTTACCGGCATGCTGCCGGCCCACAGTGAAAATGGACAACCAGAGCAGGGTCCTGCCCGTGTGCCAGTAACACCAGTCCTGGCCCTCCCCAGGGCTGGGGCTTCCGCGGGAGCCCTGGAACCAGCACACCGCCCAGCCCACACCAATACTTCACACTCTGGGAGGCTTCTAGCCACAATGGTCAGGAGGAGGTAAAGGGGAGGCGGGCAGAGGGCACGGGGCCCAGGACCAGCGAGGCCCTGGGGTGTGGGGAGCCCTGCCCTCTCCTGTTGGCCCCACAGCCTCCCTGTGTGCGAGGGCCAGGGGTGCGCACCAGCTCCCCGAGGGACCCAGCAGGGGCACAGTGGGTAACGGATGGGGCCAATCTGGAAACCCAGGGAGCGCTCTGGGCTCCCCACCGGGGCTGAGCACAAGGGTGCAGCCCACCCGAGATCAGGACTGGGCTCCGTCTCATTTGTTGGTGAGCATCATCACTACCTTTACTGCCTTTTTCATTATTTTATGCTTATATAGGAAAAATACTTTTCTGCAGGAAAAATCAGTAGGTACAAAACAGCACCCCACCCCATACAGTACCCAGTAACACATATACATATGCGTGTCTATCAAGCCACAGCTCTAACTGGGCAGAAAGGACTCCAGGCCTGCAGGACGTGGTTCCCTTGGCAGAATGAAGAAAAGTGCAGGACCCAGCCCGCAGAGTCCACACATCCAGGAGGAGAAGGCTTCCGGTGGGCACTCCGGGTCCCCGGGGGCCTTTGTGACACCCAGCTGAGCCACCCTTCCAGGTCTGGGGACGCTCTAGCCGCCCTGTGGCTGCAGGGAGGTGCCGGCCCTGTCCTCCAAGGGGTTCACTGCAGCTGGTGAGCACGCAGGATGGCAGCAGGGGCTGCACTCGTGCCCCTCTGCCCTCTCCAGCCATGAGGTCCCTGAGCAGACCTCTGCCCAGGACCTGCAGATTGGCTCCGAGGCCTTTCCTGGCACATCGTTGAGCCCCAGGGACAACGTCATGAGTGTCCTTTGTCCTCACCGGCTCTGTCGAGGCTCCAGCCCTGCCTGGCTGTCCCTGGGCCCAGTTCTCAGAAGGGCTGGAGTCCCCACTGTGTGCGGCCTTCTGGGGGCCAGACCCTAGACCTCATCTTCCACCTTGAGGATCATCCCTGAGAAGACCTCCAGGCCTGGGTGGGAGCCCTGGGGGCTGCCCTGGGAGCCTCTGGTGGACCCACGGGCCACTCCGCCAGGCAGGGTGCCCTCCGGGGCCGTGGGTGAGGCTCCCCATGCCGGGCAGGCCCCCACCAGCTTCTCGAGGGTCTGGTTGAGGGCCTCCACACCGTCAGCCAGCCGCTGGCTCTGCTCTGCCAGCCTCTGCAGCAGCAGGTTCTGCTGAGCCATCAGTGCGCTCTGCTGCTGGGACCAGTGGGAGAGCAGGGCACCCTGTCGCCGATGGGAGTCCAGCAGCCGCTGTTCAAACTCGGTGGCCTCCCCCGCGGGCCTCCCAGGGGGCGGGGCTGGCGCAGCAGAGGGCGGGGAGGGCCCAAGGGCCCCCGGGAACGCAGCAGCAGGTGGCACCGAGGCTGGGGAGGCTGGGGAGGCCGGTGGGAAGGGCGAGGAGGTAGGCACAGCGATAGTTCCTCGGAGGTCCAGGGGGTCGGGTTCAGGCAGGCTCGGCCCATCCAGGGTCCGCAGGGGTAGCCACAGGCAGCTGGGGGCCTCATCCTCCTCGTCCGCTAGTGGAGGGAGACAGGAAACGTCAGCCTCCAGCAGCCATGACCGGGGCAATACGTCAGAGGGAGGGAGAGGTGACGGAGGGGGGCCCTCTGCACATGGAGCACTTAGGCCTCCCGGTCCCTTCTGAGGTGGGCAGCAGCACCCACTCGAGGGAGCTAGTAGGACTCGCAGGGGGAATCTTCCTCCAGTAACACTGAGGTCCAAACCTCAGCCCGGCAACTGCAAAGCCTCAGTGCCCAGCCCCCACGCTGCCATTTGTCTATACACATCCACCTAGCTGGCTGTTGCCTATCCACCATCCCGTCTGCCCATCTGTTCACCTACACATACCACCCACTCACCTACCCGCCCTTCAGTTTCTTCATCCATCATCCATCTTCTTCCTTCCTTTCATTCTTTCCTTATATTCATCTGTCCATCCACCCATCCACCATCCATCTACCCATGCTTCCATCCACCCATCCATCATCCATCTATCCATCCATCCACCCATCCATCTACTCATGCCTCTGTCCACCCATCCACCATCCATCCACCCACCCATCCATCCTCCCATCCATCATCTATCCTCCATCCACCCATCCATTTACCCACACCTCTGTCCATCCATCCCTCCATCATCCATCCTTCATCTACCTACCCATTTACCATGCCTCTGTCCATCCTTCCTCCATCCACCCACCCATTTACTCATACCTCTATCCACCCATCCATCCATCATCCATCCTCCACCCACCCACCCATTTACCCACACCTCTGTCCACCCATCTGTCTACCATCGATTCATCCACCCATCCATCATTGATCCTCCAATGACCCACCCATTTACCCACGGCTCTGTCCACCCATTCTCCATCCAACTATCCATCCATTTACTCATGCCTCTGTTCATCAATCTGTCATCCATCTGCCCACCCATTTACTCATGCCTCTGCCCATCTCTCCATATGTCTATCATTCATCCTCACCCACCCATCCATCTACCCATAGCTTCTTCCACCCACCCATCCACCATCCCTCCCATCTCCAGCCACCCATCTATTTAACTACATATCTGTCCACTCATCCATCCACCCACCCACCCATCCATTTATCCACACCTCTGTCCATCTATCCATCCATCCACCATCCTCCATCCACCATCCTCCATCCATCTATCCATCCATCCATCCATCCATCCATCCATCCATCCATCATCCTCCATCCACCCAGCCATTTACCTACACCTCTGTCTACCGTCCATACTTCTGTCCACCCACCTAACCATCCATCCATCCATCCATCCATCCATCCATCCATCCATCCACCCATCTATTTATTCATGCATCTCCATCTAGGCACCCATCCACTGATCTCTGGGTCCACTTACCCAGCAAGTAGGTGTTTGAAGAATGAGAGAATATACATGAAGCAGAGCTTCCCCAGAAAAAGCCCTGGACACGAAATCCTAGAGTTTAGGCTCCAAAGCCAGCTCTGCTTCCTGAGAGCTGTGCAGCTTTGGGAAACCCTTCTCTTCTCTGGACCTCCAATCCCCAATTCAGGCCATAGGGATGTCTAACCCTCCTCTTGTCAGTGTGCAGCGACCTTCCCAGGGAAAACCTGGACCTGAAATGTGGGGCTGTGCCATGTCCTGTCTTTCTGGACACTTCTCAACATGCCAGTGGAGGTGAGTGGGACAACATTCCTATGTGGCAGCAACCATGGGCTGTGCCTCCTGGGTCTGAGCCTCACTCACCTCACCTATGGCACAGAGGTTACTGCTTTGCAATGGAAATGGGGTAGTGACAGAATCACCCCAGATGGCAGGGTCCAATGAGCTCCCTGGGAATAGGACAAGGATGGGGGTCTGAGCCTGATGAGGTGTCCATAGACACAGGTGGCCATCCATGCCGCCTCCACCTCCTTCTGTTGCTCCTCCTCCTCACTGTCACATCTTCCTCCTGTGGTCCTGGCGTCTGCTGATCTTTCTGCCCCGGTGGCCCCAGGTATTCATGGAGGAAGCCATCCTGCTGGCTTGTTGCTTCCCTCTCACGATGCAGCTGTCGAGGGCGCCTGATAGGCTCCGCCACTTGGAAGAGTTCCCATCAGAGAGAGGCCGGCCCTGAGCTTCGTGCATGTATGCTGGCTTGTCATTTGCAACCTGTAGCTTCCACTCCGGGAGGCCTCAGAAGGACCGAGCCTGGTGGAGAGGTCCCAGGTGGAGGGCCTGGCTGCCCTTGGCGTGCCGCAAGGTGGCGGGGCTGTGAGCCCAGCAGTGAGCACCAAGTTGGCATCAATCTGCCTCTGGTCCCATCTGGCCATTGAGACCTTGGCACAGTCTGCTTCTCCTGGTGCAGCATTTACCAGGTCTCGTGTGCAGCCGACCCTCAGTCATCCCGCCTTCTCACTCTGGTGGCCGTGGATGGAGAAGAGGGGAAGCCAACAGAGCTCTGACTTCCCAGAGACCCCAGGGAATGAGGACATCGTCTACCCACCTTCTCCTGGAGCCCTCTGCCCTGCGGCCCCCCACGGCACCCACACAGTGGTCACACTGCAGCCTATGAGCTCGCCTGTGTGGCTCCACCTTTGGCCTCTGCACACGCTGTCCTTTCCTCCAGGATGACTACCTGGCCTCCAGGATGGAGCATGCGCTCTCCCAGGAAATCTTCCTGCCCCACTGGCCAGGGCCCTCTGCTCACTGGAATGGACCGTCCATCCCACCGTACCCCTGAGATGCCCACTCGTGGGGTGATGAGCTCCACAGTGTCCGTCTCTGAACATCAGAGCCCAGCATGGAGCAGAGGGCCAGTGAGTGAGTGAGGAGTGAGTGGATGGCTGCCCAGCCCCCCACCCAGCCGGACCAAGACCTAAGCCTGCCTGGCCTGATGGGATGCTCACACAGTGGCAGCATGGCAGCCTGGAGGCCCAGCCATCAGACCCCAGGCCACTCTAGGATGCATCCGCAAGCAAATAAAGGCCTGATATTTGCTCTCCCTCTGAGCCAGCCAACTGTCCCAAGCCAAGTTCTGATGGCTCCAGGTAGAAAGGGCCCATCCCAGCCTCCAGCCCAGGGCCAGGCCAGAGGCAGACCTGAGCCACACAGGGACCTAGGCAGCTGGTGCAGGTGCAGGATGGTCAAGAGGAGGGTCAGAGGAAGGTGACAGACACTGCCAGACCCAGCTGCCCTTCTGGGAAGAAGGGAGAGGCCACAGAGCCTTCCAGACGGGCAGCTTGGCAAGTGAGCTTTTGAGTAACTATGGCTGTGCCCAGCGCCCATAGCAGGAAGATTCCCCAAGTGGGTCCTGCTCATGCTCTGGACCAATTGCCTGCCCTCCAGCTTCCATGAGGCCAGCTGGACAAAGGCCCAAATGTTGGGCTTCCTTGCCCTTCTTTGCTAGAATCTGACCTGAGCATGGGAGTTTAGGTAATACTGATGCAATGAGAATGGACACTCAGGCATATGTGTATCAGGGGTGGGCTGGGAGAAGGTATATTTGCTGGGAACTGAGTAAGGAAGCCAATAATCAGAATTAGACAACTGGCAGCGGTGCACAGCATCCTGGGTGCAGAGCCCACCGTCCTACCTCTCCCCTCCCCCACACCAGTCCACCTGGGCTCAGAGAAGGTCCTGTGGGGATGCCCCTCCCAAGTATAGGGCAGGGCCTGGGCTCCCAGGGAGACGGGACCGAGGGGGCCGCGGGCCAGCCGGGCTGTCCCCTCTTACTGACTTACTTGGTGCCGGCTGGCTCCAGCCAGGAGCTCGCTGGCCGCCTCTGTGTGCGAGGACGCAGCCTCAAGGCTGGCTTCAATACTCTCTGCAAATCAAGACAATAGAAGGAATTACAGAGTGGAGACCCTGAGGACACCCCAAGGACAAGCCCCAGGGAGCCCAGGCGCAGAGGCTTGAGGGGTTGAATGGCCGCTGCCCCCTTGGTGGTCATAGGTCCCACACTGGCTTCACTGGAGGCCAGGTGAGGAATCCAGCCTCCCAAGAGGCAGAAGCTGCAGGGCTCGGGCACTGGGCCACCGGGCTGCTGTGGGCACCGGCCACCAGAGCCATCAGGAGGTGCCCCAGGCGGCAGGGGCAACCCAGTCAGGAGAAGGCAGAAGTCAGTCTGGACAGAGGCCTGCCCTCCCTGGGTCAGTGAACAAAGGTGCAGGGGGTTGGGGGGCACGCGCTGGCCCGAGGCCTCTGGACAGCGACTGACCAGTTCCGACTTCAATGTGGGGCTTTGGGCAGGGGCTCGTGGGGTGTCAATGAGGCCCTGGCAAGTCACACCAGCGGCACACCTGAGCTGCCCTCACGGGGCCCAGAGCAGCCCCAGGAGACCAGAGAATTCCACTCAGCAACGCCGGCAGTAAAAAGGCAGCATCATGAAAACACGCACCAAATTCACAACCAGACCTCCTGGGAACACAAGGCCAGGCTGCAGGGACACCCAGAGCGATCGTTTAGGACTGTGACATTCGCACACAGAGGGACCTCGGTTTGAACCCAGATGAAGGACGTGTCTACACGGTTTTCTCTTCTATCACCAGGGATCCTGGTAGCGACAGAGGGAGGCATGTGACCCCAGGGAGAGGTGCTCTGTCCGCAGACCAGCTGCTCTCACTGCGGCTGCTGCAAACGCAGAGCCCCTCCTTCAAGGAAAAGGGGACCAGACTCCAGACTCACAAATTCTGGTTAGGACTCCAGAGGCAGAAGCAGTTGGATTCACATCCTGCATCCCCCCTGGAGCACCACAACCCAGGCACCCCTGGTGAGCCGGCGGCCCGAGGCCAGGCCGAGAAGGTCTGGAGGAAGCAGGCACCGCCGCCCAGTGGGTGGCCCCGGGGGTTGTCTTCACCGTGGTTCTCTCTCCACACTGGAGCCCAGCCCCTCCCAGAGTGGCCCCGAGCGGCCCGGCTGGAAGGAGAGATGCAGGGCTGGCCCCCCAGCGGCCTCCCGGGCCCCTGCTCAGGCGCCAGAGCCACCGTGCAGCCCCGGGCCGTGGGCAGCAGCACCCCTGTTCTGCCCCCGTCGAGGAAAGACGGGCACACAGGACAAAGCAGCTGCCCCCACACACGGGGAGACGGCGGGGCCCGGGCGCAGGGCTGGGGGCCACGCTCCTGGCCGGGCCTTCCTCCGCCCGGCAACCAGCCAGAGCCTGGGCTGCTCTCAGCTCCTCAAAGCGCCGACCACAGGCCCTGGGGTCGCCGTGAGCCCAGCTCCAAGGCATTGCTCACCCACATGCACGGCCCGGAGCCGCACGTGACACCACAGCCAAAGCCCCCCTCAGACGCGGTTCCACCCTGGGGCCACAGTGCAGGGAGGGTTCCCCCCCCCAGCCAGCTCCCTCCTCCTGAGCCCCCAGGGCTGCCAGGTGGGCACGCGGCAACCCCCGGTGCTTCAACTTTAAGACGCCAGGTTAGTCGGGGGCAGATCTTGGGCGCCCTCGGCTCACCCCCGGTCCCCACGTGGGGGCTGCTCAGCGGGAGCTGCCCTGCAGGACTTCGGCTGGGAGACTCCAGGCCAGGCCTCTGGCGGCCGCACAGAACCACCTTCAGCACCCGCCCCAAGCGTTCAGAAAGCGGGGCAGGGAGGATGCACCCCAAGGCACAGCCCCCATGGAGGCCCCCACGACTCTGGCTAGCCTCACCCCTGCAGCCGTGACCCTGGCCAAGCCCCTGGCCAGCATGCCCAGACCGGGGAAACGGTGGGTCCCGCAGGAAGTCTCAGCCCCCCCGCCCTGTGTCTCAGCCCTGCCACGGAGGTGTGGCCCCAGGCCACTCCCTCTCACTGCGTCACTGGGTGACAATCCACTGGCCCAGGAGGGACGCCCTCAGGAGGAGCCCAGGGCACAAAGGGACCAGGCAGTTGGCTGCCCTGATAGAGGAGAGCCCGGGGGCACTGCAGGGTCTAGGGAAGGGGGCGCCCGGCCCAGCAGGGCGTAAGCGGGTTCCTGCCCTGCTCCAGGGCTGGGGACTCGTGGGGTGGGCCTAGGCACACAGCGCCACCCACTGCCAGCCCCCGCAGTGTGCACACCCTACCCTGCAGCACCCCAAAACCAGACCTTGCTCTGCCTGCAGGACAGTGTGGCCTCCCCTGGGCTGGCAGGCCGGCCCCGCCCCAGGCATCTCCCAGGCCATGACCCAGGCCAGCCCCCAGGGAAGGGCAGCGCCTGTGTGCATCTCCCACCCGGCGCACTAGAAGCTCCACCGTAGCCATCTGCGGGGGCATCTGAGGTCCCTGACTGGCCCTCAGGGCTGAGTCCTGTTGTCCACTCTGCAGCCTTCAGGAGGGGGCTGGTCCTGCTCCGGGCTTCGTCCCCACAGTGTTTCCAGCAGCTCCCCGGGAAGCAGAGAGTCCATCTTGGCGGAGTCGAGGGGGTGCAGCCACTTCGTGCAGACTAACCAGGATGTTCAGAGGCATCTTGAGGAGGAGGGGCGGCAGGAGGAGGCACGGAGGGAGGTGGCACCAGGAGTCCAAGCCGGCACCACCCTGAGGCCGGAGGTGGCTGCGTGCGGCAGGGAGACCCCACCAAGCACCCTAAGCCTTCCTTACCAAGCACAGAAACTTCCAGCAAAAGAGGACCCTGTCGGCGGGCGCATGGGCTCAGAGGGGGGGGTCAGCGTGCCCTGGGAAGCTGAGAGCCACTGGAGGCCGCCTGGTCTGGGGGAAAAGAGCCCCCACGATGACGAGAGCACAGGAAGGGGTCAGGGTGGTCCCCTCCCCCACACGGGGTTGGGGACAGGGAGGGGAGCCGGCCCCTCATCTTCTGCTCCCCGAGCCTCTGGAGGCCCTTGGCCGTGCTGTGTCAGGGTGAGGGCACACCCAGAAGGGCTCCAAGCTTGGGGTCAGGACGAGGCTGAGCCTGAGCCCCCGCTCCCCTGCTCCCCGGGACAGGCAGGCCCCTCCGACCCCCGGCTCCTTCCCCATCTAGAAGCAGAGAGGCACCACGTGGTGGCAGTCATCCCCACCGGCCCCCTGCCCTCCCCGAAGGTCCTGCTCCCTGGGGCCGTTCCCTGAACCCCGGCACGGGGCAGGCCTGGGGGGCCCACTTACTTGGCAGGGGCTCGGTGGCCCGGCCCTCACCTAGGGGGGCTGGGGCTGAGAAGGTCTCGGCCACCATGCGCTCCACAGGGGTAAGGATGAGGCCGGGGGCCCGCGGGCGCTCCGCCAGTTTCTTGCGCACAGCCCCACGAAGGTCCCGCCACTTGTGCTTGAGGTCGCCCAGGTCCCTCCGGCAGTAGCCCAGCGCGTTCACCGCCTGCAGGATCTTGTTCCACACGCGGTGCTTCCGGGAGGGCGTGCCCCGCAGCGCCCCGAACAGCAGTGGGTAGTGGCGTGTCACCCTCTGCACCAGCACCTCCGTCTCCTGGGGGCTGAAGTTGGGCTTGCGCGTCTTGGTGCGACAGTGGGGGCCCGGCCGCGGGGGCGCACAGCCCAGCCCGGGCAGCAGGGCCGCCACGGCTGGCTCTGGGCTGGAGCTTGGCCGGCACGGGGCCTTGCTGCTGCTGGACCCTGGAAAGGCACCAGAGGCTGAGGGAGCAAGCAGAGGCCAGCCGACGGGCCGGGGAGCAGAGCACCGCCAGGCTTGTGGCCTCCGCTGTCCCTGCAGAGGGGCGCACGGGCCCCCGACCCTCATCTGTCACAGCAGGATCACCCACGTTAGCACACGGTGGGGTCCCGAGGTCTCCGCTGCTTCTCTCCTGGTGCCCCAGGGTCCCCAGGCCCTGACCCCACGGCTGCGAGTCAGCCCTCGCCTGTCCCTCTCCCCCTCCCCTGGAGATAGCCCCCCCCAATCAGTCTGTCACTGGGACGGAGTGACCGTCTGGGTGACGTCTGCAGTGGACAGAACACTCGCACACCCACCCGGAGACAGCGGCCAGGGGTGGGAGTGCTGCGGCAGCCACGCTGAGGCCAACGACAGGGGTACGGGGTGGGAGGCTGTGGAGCCCAGGCGGGGCCTGCGGGGAGCAACGTGAGGGCCTGTTGGGGCAGCTGCCGAGCACAGCCCTGCACGCAGCCCAGGCTCTGGAACGAGCATAGGTCAGCCTGCTGGACAGCAGCCGCAGGGGGCAGCGCTCCCTCCTGCCCAGGCCCCCATCTCCTGGGGGTGCAGCACAGCCAGGGGGACGGCTGGGCTGCCCTGTGGGGAGCAGGACACACAGACCTCAGAACCCTGGCTGGGAGCTGACCGTGCTGCCAGCGGCTCTGGGTGCCAGGAGTCAGCCCCACGCTTCTGGGCCCGAGAGCCGCAGCTCCTACCCCACCTGCTCAGGCCTCCCAGGTACTCGGGCCAGTAGCAGGGAGAACCACATGGCCACCTCGCAGGGAGAGGTCAGGCTGGACGGGGCTGAGGTCCTCATGTGGAAGGAACACTCGCGTGGAGGGGACACGGGCCCGCCCCTGGCACAGCCTTGTCCCCACCACACCCGTTTCCTGAGAAGTGGCCGGCTCCAAGGTGGCTTTGGGCTCCACATGTCCAGCACTCTCTGCTGGGGAATCTGCTCAACCCCCGGCCTCAACCACCCCCACACCCCCCCACACCCACGACAGCCTATCCTCACCCTGGGGAGTCCTTGAGTGGGAGGAAGACCCAGGGGGAAGCATGGAGGCCCATACTCTTCAATGAGCAGAATGGGCGGGCCACCCTCCTGCATGAGCCTCCCCAACCAGAGCCTTCCTGAGGAGCTGAGGAGACCTGGGGACACGAGGAGGGAGGATAACACATGCTCAGACCTCAAACCCCCTGGGTGCCGTTCACCTGGGAGGCAGCCCTGCCCACACCTGGGGGAAAGGGCAAGTGTCTGTGGGCAGGTGGTTTAGAGGGAAGCACAGGTACCCACCGATGGCATCGCCTTGCTCTGACACCATGGAGGCCAAGTCCTTGATGATCTGGTTTACATCCAACAAGTCACTCTGTGGAAACAAGAGGATGGCCATTAGGTGCAGAGGTCAAGGGCACAGCCCTCAGGGAGTGCTAAGTGAAAGCCAAGATCCAGCAACAACCCTGGGTCACCCCCCAAGTCAGAGACACGGCTGGATCTGAATACTCTTTCCTGACCCTGAGGCCAAACCACAAGCTCTCTGGGTTGGAAGATCCCTCACTGGATACAGAGGACCCAGGGTCGGGCCCTGGAGGGCTGCAGGCAATGCTGCCAACAGTGTCTGCGCCCGTCAGTCCTACAGACACCTTGTTTCCCATCCTTGCTTTGTCGCCCTTGACTGAAGGATGGTACCTTTCTCTCTCTCTACACCCAGCACTTGGCACCAGCCAGCATGCAGGTGCTGCTCAATAAATCCTGAAGGAGCGGGATGGATGAGTGGGTGGACAGATGGACGGATGGATGGTGGATAATGGATGGATGAAAAGATGAATGGTGAATGGATGGATAGATGGGTAAATGCATGGATAGATGGATGGTGCGTGGATAGATAAATAGGTGGATACTAGATTAATGGATGATGGATCGATGGATAGTGGATGGGTAGATGGATGAATAGATAGATAGTAGATGGGTGGATGGATTGATGGATGGATGGGTAGGTGCATGGACAGACGGATGGTGGATGGATGGATGGACAGGTGGATGAAGAGATGGGTGGATGGATACTAGATTAATGGATGGTGGATGGATGGATGGGCAAGTGGATAGATGGGTGGATGGATGGAGAGTGAAGGAGTGAACTGATGGATGAGTGGATAGATGGTGAACAGATGGATAAGGAAAGAATGGATGGGTAGGTGGAGGGACAGACTGTGGATGGATGGATGGTGCGTGGAGAGTAGTCCCATTGCCGTGGAAAGACTGAGCGGCTTCATGAAGCTAGTGAACAGGGTAAGGAGTAGAGATTTGGGCCAAGGGGATCTAGGGTGCCCACTTAAGCAAGTCTTGCATCCTCCATGCTGTCCAACTTTCTTAACTCCATTTGCCAGCAAAGTAGCAGTGATGCTCGTGAGGGACGCGGCCACAACATTCACAGGCCACACACCTGGGGCGATGCTGCATGCCACACATGGCCATCATGCTTGTCAGCATCCGAGTCTAGGTCACGACACCCATCTACAGGAAAGGCTGTGGACACTCCAGGGCGTCCGTGAGCTCCAGGGCCTCTGGCAGAAGGAGGGCTGGGACTGGCACCTGTGTCCGCCGCCTTTAAGGCCACCCCTTCCCCAAATGCCACCCTGCGAGGGACAGCTCCTCTGCTGGCCAGCCAGGTGACCCTGGACAAGACCGTTCACCTCGGGCCAGATTTCCTCACCCATCACGTGAGCAAAACCAAAGCTTCCCCTGGGAGCCTGGCACACGGCCAGGGTTGAGCCCGAGTCAGGGAAGCTTCCTTCGGGCCAGTGCGAGGGGTGGGGGAGGCAGGGAGTATGAACCCCGCCCCGGCCCACCCGCTCTGCAGCTCGTTCTGGAACCTGGACCGATTTCCACAAGGGTCATTTCCCTCACTGCACAGTATTACAGGGAAATTCATTTTCTTTTTAGGAGTGTTCTGGGAAATGAAGCAATTAGCATGATCTTAAACCTACGTGTTCTATCAATTGCAATTCAATTACGGCCTTAACCGCGGCGCAGGGCAGACGGCCACTCTGCACAAACAGGGCCCGTGGCTGGGCAGGTGGCGGCCAGCACGGAGCCCGTGGGTCTCGGCCCTGGAGGACTGCAGCCCAGGGGTGGGTGCGGGGTGGCCCAGGGCCTGGGCCCATTTCTGGAATCCTTGTCACCACAACCCTCCCGGAGTGAAGCCACCGGCCGGGGAGGCCAGGCCTAGGCTCCCGCCTAAAGTCGAGACATCAAGGTCACACAGTAAAGGCTGCAGGCTCAGCAGGGCCTGGGTCAGACCGCCTCGCTGCCCAGATTTCCAGGCTCCACCCCGACCTTGGCAGCGGCCGGGCACAGGCCAGCCACACCCAACCCCGACCTCAGTCACCCAGGCCTCTCTCACATGAGGTGGGTTTGGGGGCCCCGCCCCTGGCCTGGTGCCCTTGGACTCAGGGACTCTTAGGAGCCTTTCTAAGGTAACTCGGTCTCCCCATATTGTGTGTGAGCACACCCGCTGGTACCCCCACTTTACAGACAGGGCAGACAGGGAAACCGAGTCACCAAGAGAGTAAGACTCTCCCAAGAGCAGGTGCCTGATAAATCCTGGAGCCAGTAACTGCACCTGAGTTGGGGCTGGCCTAATCCAGGTCACTGCCCCACCAGGCCCCACCGCTGTGGGTCATCCCTGGCAGCGGGGCACCCCTGGTAGTCACGATACCTGGTCAACACACAGGGATGCCTCGTGGCCCAGCTGCCTGCATGGGTGCGGTTCAGCGGCGAGCGCTGGATCTCTTCCCTCAGGCAGGGGCAGCAGGGGCCCGGCTGGCGTGGTGCTGCCCACAGGGACACAGCCTCAGCGAAGGACAGGGCAGGGAGAGGCGCTGCTGAGCAGGGGTCCCAGTACCTCCAGCTGCCTGCCGGGGTGGAGGCACCCACCGTACGCACCATGGCTGTGCTGGCTCTTCCCCGTCTGCCAAGGCACTGACCCCCATAACCTGGAACTGCCAGGACAGAACACGGTGTCCCCAGGCCGGCTCACATTCCGGACTTCGGGGGAGGCCTCCTGAGAGATGCTGCTGCGGTCAAGGCAGTTTTCCAACTCGCTGCAAACATATGAGCCGTCGCTGCCAGCCGGCTTCACAAAGTCTCTGCCACAGGGTTTCTGTGGCGAGCTGTCCCTAGGACACTGCCAGGAGCCGTCCCTGGCTCAGCCAGGTCTCTGCCATCGCCCACACACTGTGACACCTGCCAGGCCCCCACCTGGGGCTCTGCCCGGGGCGGAGGAGGGGCGGAAGGCTTCCTGTCCACCCCGGCTGGCCCAGCAGACAGGCAACCTGGAGCAGGGACAGCCTGGCCCGCTGGCAGGCGCGGACACGCACAGCCGGGCACCTGTGCTCCAACTCCGGAGCCCTGGTGCGCAGAGGACGGGGAGCTGACGCGGGTGACCCACTCTGGGCCGAGCCCCCGGGGCCCTGCACTGCAGGGCTGCACACCTGGGGGCTTCCCCCTCCCGGCCTCTTGGCCGTCCAGTCTCCTGGCACAGATACACTTCTTTACACCAGGCCTCCCTCTTCTCACAACGCCCGACACTCGGACCCTGCCTCCGAGCAGGGACTCTGGCTGACGCCGCAGGAGCAAGGCCGGCCATCGTCCCCAGCAGACGGTCCTGAGCCCCTGCTTCATCCCTAGACCCACAACCCTCTCGCTCAGCGACCCATAAACATCATTCGTCTTGAACAGAAGCTCGGGCAGGGCTCCTGGACACAGGGACACAAACAACCTGGCCCCCCTCTGGTGTTCTGGAAAGTGCTTTCTGCAGAGAACCCCTCCTCCATGTGACTGAGACCCTCTCCCCAGCTGGGACGGACTCGAGGACACCCCGCTGTTCATCCAGGACAAGGCCACAGCCCCACACTGCACTCTGTGCCTCGAACGAGGCGAGCTGATGTTGGGCCTGGTAACCAACGTTGGGCTCAGCTTCTCCCTCCCCAGGCCTGGACACCCCCTGACCCAGAGAGCCCTCACCCACCCCTCTGCCCTATACACAGGGACGGACCCCTGCTTCCCCAGCTCCCGCACGTCCCACAGTCCCAGCATTCTCCTCTTGGCAAGGCATCCTCTATTGTGACAATCCTTATGGATAAAGGCTCTCCTTGCTCAAAAAACATAACTGAGCCATGCTGGGGAGGAATGAAGGTGGTCCCAGGGTCCCCGTGTGCTTCAGTCGGCCCCTCCGGGGGAGGGCTGCGAGGACAGGGATGCCTCAGGGGGACACACGTGGGGCCCCCCTCAGGAGGGAAGCAGGACGGAGGACTACGGGGAGGGGCTGCTGAGCCCTTCCAGACCCCAAGCAGCAGCGTCCTGGAAGTCCACGGACGAGCTGGGAGGTCCCTGGGACGGTCTTCTTCACCCAGCTGTGCCTGGGGTTTGCGCCTCCTGCATGACGGCTCCCAGGTGCCGGGACTTCCTGGGGCGATGGGTTTGCATCTATCTCATCCTGGCATCCAGGCCGTCTGCAGAATGGGTGGGGCAGCTACAGTAGGCAGGCTCTGGGGACGGAGCTGCCCATCTGCCCAGACAGGGCCCCAGCGCAGAGAGGCGTGGGCGGGCAGCCTCCTTCACGCAAACGGGAACCACTGGTGTGGGCAATGGCCCTCCAGTCACTGTGCTGGGCACCTGGGCACCCGGGCCTCGGCCCTTGGAGGACACCAAGGGCACACGAGGCCCAGCTCCCGGGCACGCCTGGGGGGTACGCTGGAGATGCGGGTCCCCCCAGGAGCCTGGGTGCAAGCCCCGTTCAGCCAGAAGCCTGGTCCTCACCAGAGCGGGGGGCTCGGAGCCAGGCTGGTCACAGGCCTGAGGGAGGGCAGGCCCGCCCAGAAGCCCCCGCAGCCACCCCAGGACGGCACCCCCAGGGAGGGAGGGCAGCGGCACCAGCTGCGGCGCGTGAGGGCGGCAGGCGCTGGGAGCCTCGCGCCAGGCGTGGGCCCCAGAAAGCGGGAGAGTGGGCGACAGAGAGAAACTCAAAACACCTCAACTTAGTAAATGTTTAAATCATGCAATTATTTTCCTGATTGCTTCTAAAACTAGAGCTCATTAAAAGCTCTCACGGAATCTTCTTTCTCTCCTTCTACTGGCACCGCAGACTAACAGCCCTGCACGGGACACGGTAAAACCGCGATGGGTATGCGTGTGCACTTGCGTGCACCTGTGTGCCCCCCTCACTCCTAGGAACAGAAAGAAATAAAACACCGCCACACTTTTTCTATTACACAATCTCTTCTTATAATTAGGATCTTGGCAATCATCCACCTATAAACACGACTGTTCCAATTAACGGAATGCCAAATTTCACTGATCTAGTCACAT